CTGGTGTCCTGGAAATAGGCAGCACGGAAGAGGTTATAAGGGGGAAGAGATGGGAGACGCAAAGGAGGCATCAAGGGTGGAGTTGCAGGTGGTACAGGGTGGATAATGTGATACGAGAGACTTCGGCAGGGCTGGGCAGGGCCTTGAAGCTGCATATAATTGGGAAGAAGGAAGCAGGGTGGAATTGTACGCACCACCCCGTGGGAGGGCTACACACAACAGCGATCGCAGGAGTGGAGATCAGGAAGGTAGGAAGGAAGGCCACTGAAGAACAGAGAGCCCCCGCCCCGTGCAGGCATCTGCAGCCATGAGTGCAAAATGTCACCCCCACCGCGTCAGCAATCGCATGGGTGGGAACTGCAGCACAGGGTGCCAGGACATGCAGGCCCAGGCAGCAGGGCTCTGTGGAAGACATGGGCCCCTAGTAAGAGGGTGAGGGGATGGCATGTGCCTGGAGAGGGGTGGCCGCAGCACTCTGCTTGGGCTTGAGTGGGGAGCCACGTCACCTGCAGGAGGGAGCAGATGCAGGAGCGAGTGATTCGGCAGCAGCCAATGCCTGCGAGGTGGAGGTGACAGCGGGTGGCTCACAGAACGTAGCAATGGCAGGTGCAGAGGAGAACTCTGGGGCGGCAGGAGACTCCAAGGTTACCAGCCTGAGGTCCTGCCTCTCTAACCCCAGCACCCTGCGAATTAAATCGCTCCCTTGTTAGCACCAAGCTGGAATGAATTTGAGACACGCCCCGAGCCTAGAGGGGTCTAGCCACTAGTCAGTGCTCCAGTGTCCCCTTCCCGCAGAGACACGGTGCCTGGCAGGCTGAGACAGACCCAGCCAACAGGACAGCGACTTGAACATTGCAGGGGAGAGACAGGAATGGATCTGGAGCCAACTGTGTCCCTGTGCTAATGAGCAGGGTCCTCCTCTCCCCAGGGCCGGAATTCATTCGTTCGTTTGTGTTGCCAGAGCAAGGCGGAGCTCCAGCAGCATGGGCCCTGCACTGCCTGCTCTAGGCTGAGCATCTGCAGGGCCGACGCTGCAAGAGAGATGGAGAGCAGCACCACAGCTGGCCGGGGGAGCGGAGCAGCAGCCAAGCGAGCATGGGAAGAGCAGTGGGCACCTGGGCATGGGCACCGCACAAAGCAACGCTGCGCTATGGGAAAGGCAGACGCTGCGCTGGCAGGGAAAAGCCCCAATCTCAGGCAGCCGGAAGGGGATACAGATATTTCAGTAGCAACCACAGATCCACCCAGGACAGCACCACCAGCAAATAACTTCCCCTGAAATAATCCCAGATTAAAAGGCAGCTCTAGAGGGGGGACGGGCTATTTACTCGCGGCAGCGATTAGATGCCATGCACCATCTAAATCAGCACCTCCTGCTACGGTGCTGGAAATGGGGGAGAGGGGAGGTGAGAGGTCTGACTGGGCTCTGCTAGGTCCCCGCAGGCTCTGCAGATGCCACCAGCCTCTCCAGGCCACGACCTGGTTTGCCAAGACAGCTCCCATGGCCTGGACAACTCAGAATAATGAGATTATCTGCAAACATGGCACACGCCGCACTCCAGCAGGACAGCTTAAAACCCCTCATGGGGTATTTACAGCCCCCGCTAAGGGCTAGCCACTAACAGCACACACACCCCCTTCAGCCTCGCGCAGGACTCTTATGCAGACGAAAAACAGAACAGGGAGGCTTTCGATGACCTCCACTGGAGTGTGGAGCTGGCAATTTCTTACCAGCAAATTAACGTGAGAGGTGATCTGAGTGCCATGCGTAGGCATCAGCGCAAGAGACGCAGAGTGAGGCAGGCTGTGCCGATGAGGAGAACACCACACTTTGTTTGACCCTCCTGCCTGTTTCCGCACCAGAGCCAGGACGCGAGGACAGGCCCTGTTACATAACACTGCAGCTGATGGCGCAGCAGGCTAACCTAGCGTGATCACCCAGGGCCTGTCGGGAGGCCAGCTTTCCGGGGTAGCCTGCCCAAGAAGGGAGCTATTTGTTCCAAGTGCCAAGTTTGATTTCTTGAGAATTACCCCCAAGAGGGGGAGGTGAAAGGGCAAATAGACTGAAAAAGCAAGCGTGCACTTGCCGTAAGGCTGCAAAACCAAACCAGCACATGGGTGCCTCGGCACCACTGGTCCCTCTAAGCGGTGCGCGTGTGCACGCAGATCCTAAACCCCGCGCACACGGTGACACACCGTGCGCACAACAAACTGCACACCAGAAATTTTTTGCGCATACAGCCTGTCAAAAATTGGAGGGAACATTGCCCGGCACCCCTCCACAACGCCTTCCCTTGCATCACCCCAATTCTGCTCATGTTGGCAAGAATCCTTCATGGCAAGGGGCTGGAAGGAGTAAGGTCCCTGCAGTTCTCCACGCCGCTAACGGGAAACGCCCCCAATGTCTTGTGCCACCTTCTGCGCGGGGAGGGGAAGCAGCAAGTGCAATGCAGCTGCAGGCTGGGCAAGCCGGGTGTGCACACAGCAGGGAATACTCCTGCACTGGCCAAAGGGACACCACAGGCCCCCTCTCGCAGGCTGTCATATCATTTTGGGGGCGTGCGGCTACGCAGGGCGCATGCCTATGCTGCCAGAGGAGAGCGCAGATGCAATTTCACATTAAATTATTTTGGCAGCAGTAGGCACACGCTGTCAGCTCGGCACACACTAACATTCATCACGCCGTGCAACTGCTGACATTCAGCTAACTAAGAGCGGGATCAATTTAAGAAAAACTATTAAAGATTTAAAAAGATTAACAAAGCGTCATAACACGGTGATGTATGACCCTCATTTTATTTGTGGGGCCCCATCTTTTATCCACTGCGAAGCGGCTGCATGTTTTACCTATTAAGTTACAGGTGCTCCTTAGAATCCTGTCCCCAGTAACAAGCACGGGGGGGGGGGTGCGAGGGGGGTGCCTTAAGCCTAGCACTGACTGCACAAGGACCCCAGCGATGGAGAGAGCGTGCCCAGAGGGAACGAAAGCCACTAAATCTCCCTGCTTGGGAGGCAGCAAACAAGAGTTCAGCATTTTAAAGAGAGCCCTTTGTGATCCTGGCAGACAAGATCAAACTCGACAGCTCTCGCAACTGAAACGTTGGCCTCGCCTTATGTTTCGGGCTTTACTCTGGATTTTAAATTGATGTTGCTCCTGTGGACAATTTAACCAACATTTATTTTTTAAACCGTCAAAGCGCAGCAGCCCTCCAGCATGTGCAGCTGTGGGACACCTCTGCTCAGTAACGAACAAGACAAAGAGCAGGCTGCATGGGGCCATGCTGTCCACACGCCCCCCTCGAGAGGGCCCTGTGGATTTTGGAACGGGCCCTTCTGTCCACATGGGGACCTGGATAAGAACCTAACTCCCCTCCTGTATCCAGGCTTACGCAGACAGCACTTGGACTGAACGCCCTCTCCCTCTCGGCCGGGGGGGATGTGGGGGGAAGGCAGGTAGGGGGCTCTACAGCCTGGGTAGTGAAGCACAGGGGCAGGCTGCATGGGGAAGACTTCGATTTAAAGGGATAACTGGCCTAGGCTGAAGGATCTGACTTTAATGGTATTAACATACCTTTGGAGCCTTCAGCCATGATATTAAAGGGACCCCCCCCTTTCAAGGCCATGCCCTGGGATTTCAGTGACATTAAACCTAGGTAAACATGTGGTTTAAACTCAACCATGGCAGCCCCTCGGGGGCCCTGCCCAGCTTCCCTGAGTTATTACGGGCTAGGCACACGGCATGCAGAGACCACTCTGTAGGACCGAGACAGGAATTGGGCTGCTTTATCAACATGGGCCAATGACACAACGGCCAGCGGCTTCAGGTTCCTGAGCCCTTCCTGACCGGCAAGGGACTGCTGAGAATCACTTTGCTTTAGCCAGCTGCATAGCTACCCCAGGATGCCCCAGTGCAGGCTGACTGCTCACAGTCTCCAGTGGACAGCCAGCCTGGCAGCAGCCCTGCTACCCCCCCCCCCGGATAGCAACGCCCCAGAGAACACCGTGCTCTGGAACCAGCTCCTGCCACACAACAGCGCCCCCACTGGCCAAGTAAGGAATTGCACCGATGGGCTCTCAAGACGCATCCTTGTGCGGTGTCAGACGTACGGCTACTGTGCACAGGCCTCAAAGCAGGCACCACGCTGCAGGGCCAACCAGCCCCAGGGCTTTCCTTGGCTCGTAGCCCTGTGACCATTTCCACGTGGACTGCTTCGCCTAACAGTCCCCAGTGCGGCAGCAGCAATGCGCCGGTTACATGCGCTTATCCTGTTTGCCTTCTCGTTCCCCTTTCCAGGCTGCAAGGGCTCCAAACAATTCCAGCCTGAGGACGGCAGGAGGTGAGCTCTCCTATCGTGCCACCAGGCAAAGAAAGCCCCAAGGAAAGCTTGTTCCCTTTCTCTAGGCCACGAACCTTTTGGTGCTGCTGCTCGCGTTCCAACACCTCCCCCTCCCGCCTCGGCTGCGGGGCGAAGAGCGGAGCCAAACACGCCAGTAAATTGGAAAAAGGGTGCTTGCAACACACGAGGGAATTGAAAAGGGCAAATTGTGTTTAAATCCAAGGGCTCTTTCCATTTCAACGATCATCATCAATCAGGCCAGGTTCGTCAATCAGTCCAGGACAAGTGCTATCGGGGACCCTATGTTTCAGTCGCCACCCCCTCACCTTCTGCAACGTAGCACGATGGGAAAGAGCCAGCGGCCCAGAAGCTGCAATACCCTGAGGATGTCTGAGCTAGCATTCCAACAATAAAGCAGCAGCAAACACGTGGACTCAAGGCCTATCAGAGAGCTCGGTGTGGAGACCACTGCCTGACACGCTGTCTCCAGTCATCTCACTGCTCCTTGCCATCCCCGCCGCTGTCTGCTATACCCAGGTTGTCACACCTTACGAGGCTGTGAGCTCCCAATCCTGTATCGGGACCCCCAGGCTCTACCACAAGACAACTAATAATCATCATCATAATGTCACGCTGCATTGGCAGAACCACGTGGATCCTTACCCCAGAGATATCTGCCACCCGGTGTATTGGCACCTCTTTCTTGCTGTGCAATCCTTTGCCATTCTTGATAGCCCTGTTGGAGGGAAAAACAAACAAAATATAATCAACATGGGAAAGCAAAGTGAGCTGTGCCATCTGCACGGCGCACGCCGGATGGCACCAACAGCTCGGCACCATGCGCGAGGGGAGCCCAGACATGCTCGTTAGCCTGCTAATCCCAATTACTGGTATTCAGCTGCTCACCTGAGCTAAGCATGTACCTGATCAGAGAACATTTGTAGACGTTACCAAATTAAATGGCTTTGTTCCCCGCACAAGGAAAGGAATCAACAGGAAGAGCACACCGGGGAGAATCAAAAGTAATAAATGTTTCTTTCAGCGCTTAATCACATGAAATATTTTAAATGCAAAATACGCAGCCAACTTTCCAATTCTAATGGAAATAAGTTCCTCCAGGTAAAAAAGAAAAAGATAAGATAAGATAAGTAGCCTGAATGAAGCAATACTGTACAAGGAAGTCATTTAGCAGCCACAAAAATTAGCAAATGCTACAGAACTGACATGAAGCCCCATTTTCAATTCCATCTGCAGCCATAACTATTAGAGCATATTGACAAGAAGAGAAGAATTGCCACGACAGATCATCTCAGTCCAGCCTGGGCAGCAGTCTTACTCTCCCCCTCAGCTCTGATAGCCTGCTGCCTTGCTGCCATCCTAGCACCGAGCTCTAGTGAGCAGATTTCGTCTGTGGGGTAGGGAGCTTTGCCCACAACCCTAAAGGAGTATGAGGCACACCTAAAAGGTAAGTAATTGCCTCCTTCTGACCCTCCTGGGATAGGCATCTTCGAAACCTAAGGCCCCAATATCCAGCCCCAAGCCGTGCCTGAACAAGCCCCTGATCATGTGTCTGTGCTGCACCTAACCCAAGGGGTGCTGCTCCACGACTGGGCTCCTAGCCACTAATGCAAAATAACTATCAATGAAATAATAAAATTAACAAACAACAAGGGCCCCAGGCCAGTCTCCTGCTTGCAGCAACCGCAGCATAGGACAGTGCAACTTGGCCAATTATTAGGGGCAGGGAAGAGATTCCTCTGTACACCAGCTTTCATCCGGAAGCAGGAGATACAGCCGTTCTTGGAGCCTGCCTATCCGACTCCCCCCTGCTGCGAGTCCCTTAGCTCAACTATGATGTATTACAAATGGATTTAAAGGGGAGTTGCAGCGATATATTTTAGAAATACTGAATGAAAGAGCTTCGGAGTCCAAATGGTCCCGCCCGGAGACAAGTTGTTCCCCCCCACCTCCACCGGTGTTGCAAGTCTTGCAACGTTTGGGGTTTTATGTAAAGACCCAACTCCTGGAGTCATGTGAGAGTCTCACATAAGAAACTGCTAGCCCTTGTGGTTCCAGAGAAAAGCTTGAAAACATGAGCCCCTGAAGGTCTGAACACCAGAAGGCAAATTTAAACAAACAATTTGTACAAGCCTGGAAGATAATAGGGTGATAAGTAACAGCCAATGCAGACTTGTCAAGAATAAATCATGTCAAACTAATCTAATTTCCTTTTTTGACAGTGTAACCATCCTAGTGGATGCAGGGAGGGGGAAGAGAGGGAAGCAGTAGCCATGATACAGAATGATGTGCGTAAGGCTTTTGACAGTGTCCCATATCACATGCTCATAAGCGACCTAGGGAAATGGGGTCTAGATTATAAGATGGGCGCACAACTAGTCGAAAGACCGTACTCAAAGAGTAACTATCACTGGTTCACTGTCAGAGCATGTATCTAGTGGGGTCCCACAGGGGTCAGTCCAGGGTCTGGTACTATTCGGTACTTTCATTAATGACTTGGATAATGGAGTGGACAGTGTGCTTATAACATTCACAGATGACACCAAACTGGGAGGGGCTGCAAGCACTTTGGACGACAGGATTAGAATTCAAAAAGAACTTGAGAAATTGGGGAACTGATCTGAAATCAGTCAGATGAAATTCAATACAGACAAGTGCAAAGTACTTCACTTATTGCTTCTCTACATGGCACGTTACTGTGGCAAGCCAGGGTGTGCATCTACAGCACACCAGTTTACCTGCAGTAACACCCCGAGTGCTTGATCTTGAGTAGTATCTAGAAAGATTTGTTCAGGCTATGTCTGTAGGGCAGGAAAACTGTTTGAAGCCATCCCTAGAGGCAATGCATTGGAATGGGTTCCCTAGGGAGGTGGTGGAATCTCCATCCTTAGAGGTTTTTAAGGCCCAGCTTGACAAAGCCCTGGCTGGGATGATTTAGTTGGTGTTGGTCGTGCTTTGAGTAGGGGGTTGAATTAGATGATCTCCTGAGGTTTCTTCCAACCCTAATCTTCTATGATTCTTCTATGATCTGGGGAGGATGAGATGTTGGCCAGTGGTGTGACATCTTCCTCGTGTTCCTGGAAAGGCTCTTTGGTTTGACAGGCCTGGAGACCCAGGAGGATGGAGAGGGTGTATGTCAGTCCCCCTGATCAGTGGTGGTTGAGGAAAGTGTTGCCTGCATGCCACCCACAGTTCCCAATACGGCCAGTACGGGGAAATAGAAATACAGGGTGGCATCCATGGGTGCCTGTAACAAGGCCCTGGCTTGGTTCTAGTGTCCTGATATCGAGGGGGCGCAAAGGATTCAGGCTGTGCTCTCCCTCGATATGACGGTGGGGTGTGCAGTGTAACTGAGTAGTCCACCTCACTACAGAAGAGGGGGCAGCTCTAGGTGGTGAGGGAGTGTGCGGTATCGTTTGCCTCTCTGGAGGAGAGGCACGAATTGCTGGTAGTTTGCTATGGAGAGGTGGTGACTCGGTGGTTTCAGAAACAACCAGGTCTCTTGGGAACCTGAACTCTGTGGTACCAGCACGATCAGTATGGGCACCGCATGATGCGAGTGCATTGGTGCCATAGGAAGTCTAGGCATCAGCGCAGATGGCGTGGGTGCCAAGCTCAGCTGAAGTCTAACAAGTAGCCAACAGGTGGCACCAAGGGCTTCACCCACGCCAAGGGCTTCGCCAGTGCCGAGGCACTCAGAGCCGTGTGTTTAGGGGGGGTAGCTGGTTCCCACTGAGATTTCTGATCTGTCTTTGTCAGTACCCCTGCTATGTGATCCTGCCCTCTTAGGGGCCTTGGAACTACCAGTAACGCCGGCACCCGAGTGATGAAAGGAGCTAGGTCTCACTCCAGAAGATGAGGGGGCCACTGACCTCAGAGGGTGTTTCTTGTCATCCTGACTAGAAACTGAAGACTTTCTCTTCACAGTGTGCAGTGAGCGTGGGGCGGCAGATGATGTTGCCGATGGAAACCGCTGCACAAGAGAGGTAGCGGGGTCAGGATCTGAGTCGGGCCACAACGAGCCTTCCATCATAATTAATTTTAGTTTCGGGTCACAGGCCTTTTGGCCTGCATTTTCAATTCGAGGCAGTGGGTGCTCCCCTCCCAGAGAACAAACGCACTGTGAGTGTCCGTCACTCACAGGGATGGCCTTGGGGCAGGAGAGGCACCTCTTAAACCCGGGGGAGCTGGGCAAAACCCTGTGCAGGGAGAACTTTGCTGTCGGGAAGAATGCACTAAGCTAGAAGGTAATGGGGAGGAAAGAACAGAAAGAAAAGTTTGGGTCTGGTCAGCTTTTTGGGAGAAGAAAATAAAGGGAGGAAGCAACCAATATCTGCTCTGAACGGTACCTTATTACCGCCAAAGGCACGAACGATGCTGTGAAGGGCTCTGCGAGGGATTCCGTCCCAGACCCAGGGGAGCTGAGAAGGAAGTAAGGGCGATTGGACCGCACAATACTATAGACGCCGTTCATAGTGCAAGAGGGGGAGGAGCACATGGGCAGCCCAACGGGCAGTGCTACCAAAGATCTCCAATCCCAGGGGCAGGGACACTAACTCACCTAACATGGAGCACCCACGGGGACACATCTCAAAGAAGAACTCGGAGTTCTAGTGGATCACAAATTGAATGAGAGTCAACAATGTGATGCGGTTGAGAAAAAGGCTGCTATCATCCTGGGGTGTGTTAACAGGAGCATCTTCTGTAAAATGGGAGGTAACTGTCCGGATCTACTCAGCACTGGTTAGGCCTCAGCTGGAGTACTGTGTCCAGTTCTGAGCGCCACACATCAGGAAAGATGTAAATAAATTGGAGAGAGTCCAGAGGACACTATAAGGTGGGTAGAAAGCTGGCTAGATTGTCGGGCTCAACGGGTAGTGATCAATGGCTCCATGTCTAGTTGGCAGCCGGTATCAAGTGGAGTGCCCCAAGGGTCGGTCTTGGGGCCGGTTTTGTTCAATATCTTCATAAATGATCTGGAGGATGGTGTGGATTGCACTCTCAGCAAATTTGCGGATGATACTAAACTGGGAGGAGTGGTAGATACGCTGGAGGGGAGGGATAGGATACAGAAGGACCTAGACAAATTGGAGGATTGGGCCAAAAGAAATCTGATGAGGTTCAATAAGGATAAGTGCAGCGTCCTGCACTTAGGACGGAAGAACCCAATGCACAGCTACAGACTACGGACCGAATGGCTAGGCAGCAGTTCTGCGGAAAAGGACCTAGGGGTGACAGTGGACGAGAAGCTGGCTGTGAGTCAGCAGTGTGCCCTTGTTGCCAAGAAGGCCAATGGCATTTTGGGATGTATAAGTAGGGGCATAGCGAGCAGATCGAGGGACGTGATCGTTCCCCTCTATTCGACATTGGTGAGGCCTCATCTGGAGTACTGTGTCCAGTTTTGGGCCCCACACTTCAAGAAGGATGTGGATAAATTGGAGAGAGTCCAGCGAAGGGCAACAAAAATGATGAGGGGTCTGGAACACATGACTTATGAGGAGAGGCTGAGGGAGCTGGGATTGTTTAGCCTGCAGAAGAGAAGAATGAGGGGGGATTTGATAGCTGCTTTCAACTACCTGAAAGGGGGTTCCAAAGAGGATGGCTCTAGACTGTTCTCAATGGTAGCAGATGACAGAACGAGGAGTAATGGTCTCAAGTTGCAGTGGGGGAGGTTTAGATTGGATATTAGGAAAAACTTTTTCACTAAGAGGGTGGTGA